GTAGGCACTGTTATTAATTTTGGAAAGTTTTCTGGGGGGCACTGTTATTCCGGTAGGCACTCTTATTCGGCACTTCAGAGTAATTAAATTTGATATTTTGTGGAATTATAGATTGTTTTAAACTTGGACATAATAACGTTATTATTATCCAAGTTTTAAAAACATTTTATTATACCTCAAAGTGAATTCTAGGCCTCCCGTTGGTCAGTTACCATGCCTTTTTGGTGTGTTATAAAAAGGGGGTACGTGCACCACTTAGAACAAAAACACTTTGATGATTGTCTAATAGAGTAAAAATTAATTTGCAATTATCTACCGACTCTTCGAAATTCAAAGCATGGGACAGTCAACGTTGAATTGTCGGCGACATTCCTATCACGACGTATAGCCTACAACGAGTTCGAAAACCATCTCGACCCCTAGTGAATACGCACGCAAATAGTCAGTACAATCAGTGAGGGGTATTTGTCGCGTTACGTACTTCCTCTGGTGCTTCTCACCCGTGTATATCACAAACACCGCGCTAATTCGTCAGCCGACGCGCGGTAATAGCTTTAACACACATAACAGCGAACAGGAGTTCGATGCGCACCAATAACTGGCTCGTAACAATGACTTCGGTCTCGATGTGAGTTTTAGTCTAATGACCTTGATCGACCTACTAGTGCATATCTTACTTCCCACTGAAAGTACTCGCCATGCAACCGATCACCGTTCTTGTTACTGGGGCCAACCGTGGCATAGGCTTGGAGCTGGTGAGGCAGATAGTGGCTAGACAAAATCCACCGAAACATGTTTTTGCCACTTGTAGGGATCCCGACCGTGCGAAGGTGAGACTACCGGTATTATAGGCCTAGTCATCAGTTTATAAACTGTGCATAGAGTTTCACATGGGAGTTGTTTATATAACGACGCGCTTCGGTCACAAAAATCTTGATACAGTGCAATATTCTATACCGTACATTAAGTTCTACCCCTTGTGTACAGACTGGTCCTTATTTTTTGGATTCCTACAGGTGAATAGCAAAATCTAAGGGAACAACTTTTGAGGAACCGATGCATAAGGGACCTATAGTAAGTCGTAGCGGTGTAACTGTATGATAAGGAATCAATGACGGGTCAAGGGGGAGAGGACAATTGGTACGTTTTAGAGGTCAGTCCCCTCGTAACAAAAAAACAAAAAAAAAAAAAACAAAAAAAAAAAAAAAAACTGGAATAACAAGCGAAAGGAGTCAAATCCAAACATTTTTTTCATCCCGGTGACCTACATATTAGATATACAAGTAGAATCTGCTTTTGTCCTTGTGCGTACATGTACCCCGCCTCCCATTGTCAGTCGCCGGTTGCTGACTTGCAAATCTGCTACAGTAGAATATGGGCTCGTGTTTAATTTAGTGGTGCTTTAACACATTAATTAAATATAACTGCTTGATTATTGATTTTCATTATAATCTGGTAAATACCCAATTTACCTTACATCTGGTATAACCTCATCCATATACAATCTTCTTCGTCATATAGAAGAACTCCATATTGCATGATAATTATACTGCCTGAAATAACCGCATAATATTCCTACGAGATTATGTGGTTTGTCTGCTTTTTTACAGGATCTCCAAGCGTTGGCCAAGGAAACCCCGTCTATTGACATCGTAAAATTAGGTAATATTTTAAAAAACAATCGATAAAGCGTTCATAACCCTTTATGCATTATGGTTGACTCTGTACTTGGTAAGATGTAAATATAATACTCGGATGTAGAGGGAAATATTTCATTTTGTTGCTTGTCCTTTTTTTTCAGAATTCTCAGATATTTCATTTAAAAAACAATCGATTAAACATGCATCACAATTTCATTGTGAGTAACTTTCTATTCCCTTAATTTCTTAATACACGAATTTCACATATCAGTTTATATATCTGTTCTATAGATGTTACCGATTACGCCACTCTCCGCAACACAGTGGTCCCCCATGTGCAGAGTAAAGTTGGAGACCTTGGCCTAAATCTTCTCATCAACAATGCCGGACTTTTACTACGACACGACCTCTCCACTGTCACACCCGAAGCAATGAGAGAGGTGTACGAGGTGAACACCATAGCTCCCGTCATGATCACACAGGTAGAGTGAAATCAAAAGTACATTCAACTTTTTTTTCTTACGAGTGATGTTGGTTTTCAGGCATTATTCGGATTTGGTTTGTTCAAGTAATTGCGTGTCCTGGTGATCCAAAAACTTGGATGCCTCATGATGGGCCTTGAACGCCATTGAACTTCTTATCACAATTTTTATATTTAAATTTAAGTATTAAAATACATATTAACAAAGGGTTCATTATCGAGGATTATTTTTACATACACAAATTATGATTTATAAAGATATTTGCATAAAATATTCACCTTGGCTTCCTTTTGTTATTCAGGCGTTTCTTCCCCTATTGAAGGCAGCCAGTGCACGCGCCACGGGAGGACTCAGCTGTTCTCGAGCAGCCGTTATAAATATCACCAGCAAAGTGGGCTCTTGTGCAGACAACCAAAGCGGGAAACACTATCCGTACAGGTGCAGCAAGGTAGGACTACATGTATATCTTGTATATCTACTTTTTTTAAGTAGACTCGGTTTGAAATTATGTGATGACCTGTAGTCAGTGTTCAAAGCAGGGTAACATACATGTACGTATAGGTACTCAAATGATACGCCATTATCGGGGGGGGGGGGAGGCTAATTACCACGGATTTTTGCAAATGATTTGACATTATTTTCTCATTAAAATGTTAAAAAACGAGACATGATTGGGTAAGACAAGGCCTTTTTTCGATTGTGCTTGTTTATTACGTTTTGTGTCAGGTCATTGCATTTATAAATTACAGACATCATTTGAAAAACGTTACAATCATTTATGGTCGGAGAAATTTCAGTGCATACTGAATCGATGTGTGACATTTTTTCCTACTCCAGGCTGCTTTGAATATTGCCACAGTGTCGATGTCAGTGGACCTGAAGAGTGATGGTATACTGGCGGCCGTTCTACATCCGGGTTGGGTGAAAACACAAATGGGCGGAAGTAACGCCATTCACGAGCTCAGTGACAGCGTGAAGGGCATGCTGGACGTCATGGACAGACTGACCGAAAATGAAACTGGGAAGTTTTTTGAATGGAAAGGCAATGAAATCCCATGGTGAAAACAGATTATATAAACAATTTTACAAACATTATTCACTTTGATGAGTATATGTCCAAGCGACTTGAAAATGAAAAACGGTGCAAAGTAACGCGTCCACATGTACTTGTAAACTTTAATGTACTGTTCAGAATGCAAAAATTTAGGCACAGAATGTAACACCCAACTTTTAGTTACCAATAAATGTTGTTATTATTTTCAACTGTATATGCCCCTGCAAGTTGCCAAAAGCCTGAGGATTTCAGGCCCCTATCAATAAATTCATCGCATTGTATCAAACAAATAGATAGGACCTCTTTCTTTATGTGAAATGTGGATGTGTGAGTCCATAGTGCGTAATAAAAGTATTTCTTTTGTTCTCTGTTATTTTTAAC